GTGGGACTAGAACTCACAGTCTCCCAATTTCTAGCCTGGTGCCTTAACCACACCAAATTGGGTCTCTATCCATTATATATATTCCATACATCATTTCTACACTAAAATACTTCCTTTTTCTGTTCTTAATTAGAGGAACATTCTTGAATTTAAGATAGGGAGAGACAAAACTATCCATGAACAACAAACTGTTAGGTACTGTCAGTCCTTTGAGGTAGACCAGGTCAGGAAAAAGACACCACAAGAAACACTAGAATTCTCTTAATATAGGTTATAATAACAGAATCGGGGAAGCCTAATAAGAGTTTCTCTTTCCTTCTCTCTTATTCTAAAGAGAGTCAAGGTAGGGCAGTCCTGAGTTTCTTTCTCACACTTTTCTGTTTTTCCAGATTAAGTTGATGTTTTATCAATAGTTTCCACATATTTTCTGGAACAAAAAAAGGCCACTCTCTTTGGGACTGTGTATGCAATTACCCACAGTATTGTTTCCAGTGGCTCTGGAAAGTTCTGTCCCTTTTGATATATAGAGATATAGGTTATAAAGGAACTTACAGCTGACCATGGGGAAGGTATAAATGACCTGTTAAGGAGGGTCCTGGATAAGAGATTACACAATCCAGAGATAGAAGGAAGCATGAGAAAAAAATAATAACCTTGCCTTGATTTTGCTTAATATAAGATAGGACAGAAGAAATTTGGACAGGCTTTCAAGATTCTGATATTATATCGTATAACAGTAAAGTAGCATTGTTCAAGTCCCTGAGATGTCTGTTTCTTGACCTGACCTACCTTGAAGAGTTGATATACAGATATATACATAATGTAAATTCTTGTCTGTTCATGTCTCTCTTCCTGCTTTTGCCTGCTTCATCCCATTTTGTCAGTTAACCATTTTTTTTATGTTTGCTGATGTTTACTAAATAAACATCAAGCTGTATTTTTATTGGGGAAATGAGTTGGACTCTGTGTGCTTGCTTTGATCTGGAGACAGGGATAGACAGGAAGTGTGTTGGGTGCAAACTAAGCTGGAAATTACCTATGACAATTTTCCAACACAAACTTCCTCTATCACATCTTAAGTAAAAATCCACAAACCTTATAGCCTTTTGTGATAAAAGAGGGTCTTTCTGCCTACACATTTCTGATTGTCAAAGAATCTTTCAGGATCTGAATCTAATAGCAATCCTAAGAAGAGTATTTCTGTTTCTTAATCAGCCAATGTTATACACCCTGGTAGAATACGAAGTTGTCAGTTTTTTAAAAGTCTATTTTCAGAATTGCATTTCTCTATGCATTCATTTTAATTTAATCTGTTGTTTCTGAATCTTTCTCCACCAGTTGTTTGCTTTTAGGATGCCTTTGTATACGGTAAACTTTCAGTATATGGTCAAATCCATTTTAAGATCCATTATTTCCACTTCATGATAATGAGGCTGTTAACTTCCAGTCTAAATCAATTTTTGAAATTTGATATATTTTTAAGTTTCATTCTTTGTAAGAAAGTATGCAAATTCAGGAACCCAGATTATAGAAAAGCATGATTCTTCCAATAGTACATCTGGATATTATTAGAAGTTGTTGTCAGCTTTCCCTTTTCTTTCCTGTTCTGAGTGTGATACAATTTCAGATATTTCCCTATCCCCATTGGTGGCAGACATTAGTTACAAGCAGAATAATGCACAATGTAATTATATCACATTCTTCTTGCTTTGATGCTGGGAGAAGGGGACAAAATGATACAGAGTTTGCCAGCTTTATTTCTTGTAACGTCTAGCCATGCCTTGAAACCTGATATTTTCAGTTAATCCATACAATTATCTATTCATCTTAACTTTGATATCAGTTACTGGTATTTCCTAGGCCATTATTTCTTTCTAACAATATATTTTTTAAAAGATAAGTAGCTTCATTTTGCTTGCATTGTAGTCTCAACAATTCTCTAAATTTTGAGGTAGTGAAGATGCTCCATACTTTTTTAAAGAGAACAAAAGTTCTTTTAAAATTTATTTTATTGAATTCAAAACTGAGCCCAGGAGAAAAAACCAAATTGATGTGTAAATTTAGAAATCTTTAATATAGGTTGTTCTCAACACAATTAACAGTGTTAAAGAATGAAGTAACTTAACTTTTCTCCTGGAATTTCATAGGGAATGCCACTTTAGATTGTTTGCCCATCCTTTGCCTCATTCTACAATTCCAGAGTAGAGATAATCAGAATATCATTTGTCTGTCTGAATTCTTCTTAGGTTTTTAAGGAAAATATTTTTCCTAAAGGTTCATTTGCTCCCCACTATTGTTTTCTTCTAGTGATCCATGTCCAGATAGTCTCTGACCATTCTTGGTTACTTTATCAATTGTGGGGACAACTGAATGGTAAATGTTTGCAATGTGTCACATAATGATTTTATAATGAATCTGTTCATGGATTACTGTAAATCTGCTGAATACATATTTGCATATATGGTATAGAAAACAAGAACGGTATTCCTATTAGGCTGTACAAAATGTGAAATGACAACTACAGTCTTATGTATCCTTACTTCCAAGTATGCTTCCAGGGGATGATACAGGCCTATGCTAATATAAATGAAATGTTGAGCTGCAAAATGATTTAGGCTATCTGTAGCTATTAATGTGCTGGATGTAAATTATATTTATAGCTATATCAATTTGCTAAATAAATAAATAAATAAATAAATAAATACAATTAACTTGTAAATTATTTTCAAAAATCCCCTTGGATGTTTGGTTAACTGTTTTAGTTAAATCATTTAACCGTTACAATACATACTTAACAGCTTTTGAAGTACATCAAATTTTCTTTGACTTTAATCTCTTAAATGCACAGTATCTTCAAGTCATTCCAAAGCCAAAAGCATCTTTCTCTCTTTTTAGTAAAATGCAATTCTGTCTACATTTAAGACACTAAGAATTATACATGGCATAGCATTTACACAATCAAGTAACTGACAAATTTCTGTATCAAATCTTGTAAATAATTATGTATCAGGTTTATTTAATCATATGTACAGTAAGTAAAAAGAAACTCAGGTGTCCATCTTAGGTAGCTGAAGTGGCTTCAGTAGGAGTTTCCACTTATGGTCTTCTTAATCTGTTTACTTAATTGTTCAAATCTCATCTTTGACAGATTTTTATAAATAGATTTCCTGAGATAATATTCCTATCATAAAATATTCTTAGTGTGAAACATACATATCCCTGCATTTTTTTCGTATTTAAAGAGATAAAATTATACTCCCAATATCTAGAATATGTATGCAATTTTTCTGTCATTTTCTGAAAGTCTGCCTATGTAACAATCAAACACTGAATTTATGATACTAAGATTCCTCACTTTATGGCCCTTCCTAGCTCTGAGTTCCAATGATATGGTGTCACCAAACACCAGGGTCAGAGTTAAGTAAGACATGCAGGTTGCTTTCAATCACATTAGCTATTCATTTATTCTTCCCAGAATAATTTTCATTCCATTGGCCTCTTGCCCAAGTGCTTTTTCTTGGAGAGTAACCATATTTGATTAACTAATATTCTCATCCAAATTAAATTGTGCAAGAAGTCCTTTCTCTGTCAAAAGTCACTTCCTTAGATCCCACTAAAATCAATATGAAAATTTATTAATTATTTATTGATTTGAGCTGGAACGATGCGCAACTGATATAGTGAATTCAGCCCACTTTTTAAAATACTTGTGTCAGTATGAATTGTACAGGAAACAATTAAGAATAATCAATATGATAATGATCATTATAGACAACACTCTTTGCTGTATAGGCAATGTGCATAATTAATTGCATAATAAGCCAATTACCCATAAATGTTTACCATTAGAAATTGATTATTCTATACTATGAAATAAATTCTCCAGGGCACTGTTATCAAGAATTAAACAAAATTATTATTTTATCTTTACTTTGCAGGGCTTCTAGGATGCGTCAGTCGGAATCAACTCTGAGCAATGTACAATTCCCACTTCTACAACTCAGGTTAAAGAAGGGAAAAAAATAGAAAATCAAAGTAACTCCATAAAATCACACATAGATATATCACACAGAAATACGTATATCACACTCAATTCTAACCTAAAATTAAAACACTTTCCATTTGTAGTGGGACAAATCATACCACTTCAGCCCCAGGCCCTACCAGTATAGACTTTCTAAAGGTCAAAAGGGAAGAGTGAATGTTCTTTAAGGGCAGCGCCATGTAGAGTGTTCTTCAGTAGCCCAAGTGAGAAGGGACAAAGGCATCAAGCACTGTGAAATAGTTGATCCTTATATGAAAGCTGGAGATTTTATCACAGTTCTTTTCTTTTTCCCCTTTCAAAAGGTATGTTTGTACCAACTCAGAGAACTGAAGGCATCTCAACTTCAGATATTATCACTAGAATAGTACGTGACTATGATGTCTATGCCCGTCGTAACCTTCAAAGAGGATATACTGCTAAAGAGCTGAATGTCAGCTTTATAAATGTAAGTGCATCTGTCTTTCAAGTTACACTGTATTTGGAAAAAATGTGGCATGATTGTGGCATGATTGTGGCATGGTTAGGAAAACTGAAATTTGTTTTGCTGTATTTTTCTAAGCACATTTTAAAAGTTAAATTCTCATAATCTCTTTACCATAATTAATGTTCAAGATTTTAAAATTAAAACAAAATTCTCTGCTTTCTGTTATACTTCTAAAATCCTTCAGGTTATGATTATTTCATGATTATTGTTTGGAAGAGCATATACATATAAGCTATATGATTCTTAAGATTATATGGATGACAAAAAAAACAACACTCTAATAATTTTACATGTAAGACACACATGCAGTCTTTACTGCCGAATGTTGTTGGATAGATTTGCACATGTTTTTTTTCTTAATTTACCTTCTTTGAAGCTTTATTTAGCTGCCATTTCAGACTCACACCGCAGGACTGATGGTTTCTTAGTTTTTCCCCATTCCTTAGTGTGCAGATTTTGGGCTGGGAATATTATCTTACCACCTCTCCCCTAAACCCAAATAATTCCTTCCATAGATCCTTTCTGTGCTAATGACTTATCTGACTGCCAAGCTTTCTGAACTCTAGTCTATATCTCACTTTGTATTTTGGCCACAAAACTGGACTTTTTGACACTTTGTTGCCTCCATGAGGTGTTCTAGTGAACTTTGTGTCCTTGAAATTAATTTTTTTAATATTTAGTAGCATAAGGACAAGTCATACTAATCAAATCTACCTTTATTCCAAAAATAATGTATAGTTTTCATTTAGTCAGGATTTAGTATTTCCTGTTTGTTTGTTTGTTTGTTTTAATCCTGAGCAATGACCACATAAAATCAGGGGTATTTTCCTTCTTGATGTAAATCTGTTTATGGTAAACTCCATCCATATTTGTGAAATATTACCATCTAGATATTTATTGGCTGGTGACTTTAGCCACATTATTTTATCCATTTTTATATAATAGTATCCAACCCATACCTCCTTAAGGTAAGCTAACATCTCCCAAATGTGTGTTGCATAAAGGCTGCAAAGAATAACAGTAGGTAACTTAAAAATCAGAAGGAGTCTGGTAGCACCTTTTATGACTAATACAATTTATTAAAAGGCATAATCTTATGCCTTTTAATAAAATTTGTTAGTCAGGAACGGTGCTACCAGACGCTTTCTGATTTTTTGCCACCATAGACTAACATGGCTCTTCTCCTACAATGTCTACAAGCAGGTAACTTATTTTTTCAAATGGTCATCTGTGCATTCTCATGACCTCTTACCTTCTTTGCTACATATGCCCTCTTACCAGTGGCACTGAGAACCAAGGGATTCGGTGTGACTGGTTTTTCCAGAAAATAGGCTTCCTGCCAAAAAGCTCAACTTGAGAAGTTCTAAAACAACGGTCACACAGACCAATTAAAGAACCACAATTACTTATGTAACTTGCTGTTTCTGTTGCATGTACATTACATCTCCTTTTACATTAAATCCCAAAGTAGCAAATCTCATATTATTTTCCTATTTTGCAATCAGTTTGATCAAATCCACAAGATGAGAAAAAAGAAAAGAAATATATGCACATATATCCTTTAGTCTGCAGAAAGCACTGCATTTCTCAGACTCCTGAAAGAAGCAGGTTATGTCATGATGAAAATATCTTGGATGTCAGTATTCTTTTCAGCAATTTATTAGTACAATGCAGCCATCATTCTGTATGAGTTAATGAGCTCTCTGTCTATCATCCCAAGTTATCACATGCTATGTTAGTTTCATCTATTCAATGCTTTTCTCATGGAAACTACATTTTATTTCTATTTCTTAAGTGTGACTCTTTGCTATCTTTTATACTCGAAGATGTGTATGTGAATATTTCATATAATGTTACTCAAATGAACTTCAACATACAGTAAATCAAAATTTCTTCATGCCTCATGTTACTTTTATTTTTTATTAGGAGAAGAAATACCGTTTTCAAAACCAGGTAGACAAGATGAAAGAAAAAGTGAAGAATGTGGAAGAAAGGTCTAAAGAGTTTGTGAATCGAGTTGAAGAAAAAAGTCATGATCTCATTCAAAAATGGGAAGAAAAGTCTAGAGAGTTTATTGGCAACTTCTTAGAACTATTTGGGCCAGATGGAGCTTGGGTATGTATTTGTTTATTCATGCATACATATAATTTATGAGTTATTGATGGGTCATTTTTTTTGCCCCCAAATATCTTGAAAATAGTAGACAAATTAAAGCATGTTACAGTGGTACCTCGGTTCACAAACTTAATTTGTTCAACGATTCTGGTCGCAAACCAAATTGGTCACGAACCGAATCAAATTTCCCCCATAAGGTTCAATGTAAATAAGGTTAATCCGTTCTGAACCATATGTATTTT